TATATTTAGACAAATATAGAAAATCTTTTAGAAATATTTTACCCTAAGACACTTGTTTAAGCTCTAAGGAAATTAGAGAGAGAACTTTAGACTCTTCAAGGCAAAATGAGAACAAATATCTACTCTCCACCTCATCCATTTTGACTGTACTAGGAATCTTGCCATTATATAAACCATTTAACTTCTGAAGTCCAGGTATCATAGAGCACAGTCTGACAGCACACAGCTGCAGAGATGGATAACCAAAGAGTAATCTACTCTGAAATGAATCTGGCCCCAAACCCAAAGAGGCAGCAAAGGAAACCTAAGGGCACTAAAAGCTCCATTTCAGAAACTGAACAGGAAATAACCTATGCTGAATTAAACCTTCAAAATGCTGCTCAGGATCTTCGAGGTGATGACAAATCTTACCGCTGCAAAGGTAAAGCACTTAACAGCTCCTCAGTCCAACTCTTTTAGGATGTGCAGTTGGGGTGCAGGGGTGTGGGGAAAGAGCATGACGTGCTCACATAGTTTAATTCATGAACCAGAGTTCTAAGTTGAGATATGGTATTTTAATATGAAATATGCGGACAAATGTTACTCCTACATTGTTCAAATTTGTAGTCTTAGTCCCACAACTCACAGAGCACTACATTTACTGAAAAATGCAATAGTATATTCTGAGAGAAAGATTATTATGGTAGATGTGGGTTTGGGATCCAAGTTTATCTTTGATTCCCTTTGCATGTGGGGTCCCGTGTATGAAAATATTCTAACCAGCCAACTCCGTCTCTCCTTTCTCAGTGTTTCTGTTTGTCTCCCTGAAGGTTTACTGTTTCCTCCAGAGAAGCTCATTGCTGGGATCCTGGGAATCCTCTGTCTTGTCTTAATGTCCACTGTGGTAACAAGACTTCCCAACTCCCGTAAGTAGGTTTTGTAGAATAAAAGAGAACTTTTACACTTAATGATTGGAAGTACCTCTAAACATTTCATCATATCAGAGAATAGTATTCTGATTTTAGCATTATGTTTTGAACTAAATGAGGAATAGTTATTTTGATTTTTTCAAAAATATAAATGAAACAGTAATTG